GCTACACTTTTTGAGCAGTTGAATCCCTTTTTTTTTTATTTGTTTATTTTTTTTAAACAATCTCTTTTGTTGTTTAAATAGAATATTAAATTTTTTTTTATTATGATTTTGTATTTTACATTTTAAGTCCACATGTGATGCTTTGTGGTATTCTGCAATTTAAAATATTCATCTCAGGGGTCACTGTTTAAACACCACAATGTATTGAGTAAATACAAATACTGTGAAGCAATACTTTTTGACTTTTCATTAATATTTTTTCTATTCAGCTACACAAGCATCCTCTTTAAAACCCTCAATATTGTACTATAAACAAGGCTTTACCAGATTCTTATGTACACCTTATCAATTTATTGATATGCAGCATAATGTCCTCCTTTTTTGTGCTATGGAAATGGCCACCCTAGGATACACACATCTGAAGAGTTCAAACTTCCATTAAATTAGAGGGTTTTAGTTAAAGGTATAGTGGAGGATGTTCTTTTTCTGGGTGGACCATCAAAATGAGTGGTCCTCCTAATTGTCAGTCATTCTAGTTATATGTTTACGTAATGCTGTCCTACCTTCTCGTCCCCCTTTTCACTTACCAGTGGAGAGTCTGACATAGTGGAAAATATTGCAAATCTTCTTTTGGAAAATAAACTTGTAGGAATGATGCAAACAGCAACTTTTAAACGGAGCGTGCACGAGGAGAAATTGGCTTGTGCACGCACTTGCACGCGTTTAATAGGCGGTCCCTTTCAGGACCGGGTTCAGGGTTGTGCATGTGCATTTCTTTTTTACCGTAATTCATTTTGTTGAAAATTAATTAAAATCCTCCACTATACCTTTAACAGGATATAGATACAGAGGTTAGTTATTTATTGCCTTTATTGTGAAGAGAGAAGAACTATTTCATTGAACATTTTCTAAAAAAAAAAAAATAAATAAAAGCATAAGGTGTTTGTTTTCAGTTATTATTTAACTCCAGATTATGCATTAAAAATATTATCCTTACACAAAAAAAATATTTTTTTTTTTTGGCATTCAGAAAAAAAAAAGGATCAAATAAACATTCTTCAAACATTTTACTACCTTTGATAAAAAAGAATCGAAATGACTGTTATAATAATTTGATTTAACTAACAAAATAAATCAATGTTCAGTCTAACAAGATGTACCGTCTGTGTGTTTAACAAAAAATAAAAAAATAAAAAATCTCAGTGTTTTCCATAACTGCTGAAAAAATAAAGCAAAGCAGTAAGGGTGCAGATGCATCGCCCAAAGTCAAATCTGCCGTTTTTCCTCGTTCTCTGTCTGTTTACTGCTGCTTTTGAGGAACTGAAAGCCTCTTCTGAGTCAGAAGCACAACACATTCATCAGCTGGAGAACGCACTCTTAACGCTACCGCGATGTAATCATCTCCCCGGAGACTTCGATCAAAGGCAGCTGTATGTTCTTACACTGTCATTACGCTCCCACAGAAGAATTAATCTGGAGTTGTTCACACAGATAAAATAGTAGGTTTTTCAACAGAATAATAAATGCAAAGAGAGTTCTCAGTGTTGCAACAAGCAATATGCTAAGATGGCAACATTTCCACTAAGTGGTTAGAGCAACAGAAACAACCCACCAACTTCTCTGAGAAAACAGTTGCATGTCCTCTCTGGCCCCTCTTGTCAGGTCCCCCATTAAACCAATCCAGTCCTGCCTGAAAATGCCGAAAGCTGAAATGTCATTTACTCACTTCTCTACAAAAGTTCAGGAACCTGCGAGAAAATGTCACCTTTGAAAAAAAAAAAAAAAAAGGGAGCAGCCTTTAAACCTTTTCCTCAGTTTGGTTGAAACAGGGAAAGTTAAAGTTCTAAAAGATTAGAGAACTTGGAGCGGCAAAAAGCAAATTAAAATTTCCTAAATCAGACCATAAGTCTGTTATCTTAGAGAATCAGCTTTCTAAACAAACTTCTATCTACGGAGATTCTGCGATCAGATACTGGGAAATAAGGAATGTTTTTCATCAAGGTCTTTTTTGCCAGAAGTAAAAGTTAAAAGTTCTGAATCAAAGTGATGACAAAGTTATCTGTTTTTTTTTTTTTTTTAAACATTTATCCGACTTTTAACTAACTTTCCAGCAAAGCCAATCAAAGAACGTACTGCTGGTTTATGTTTTACTGAAAAAAGGAAACGATTTTTGATGTGTTTGATGAAAGGTCCAAGTTAATCAAGGATAACTGGGATAATTAATGGAGGTTTATCACCGCTGTTAATATGCTTGATCTTTGTCTTCTTCTTTTCAAATACTCTGTATATACATAATCTAATTTCAAGGAAAAAATAAGTATACATAGACTAAATATAGAATTAAAATTACTTGGAATCTATAATTCAGCCCCTGATGTAAGAAATAATGGAAAATAAACGTTGGTTGATCACATTAATTGCAGTTCACTGCAAAAGCGATCTAGAAAGAAGTAAAAATGTCTTATATTAAGTGTTTTTACCCTTAATTTGAGTAGGTAAATGCGATAGTTTGCCAATGGAATTAGTGTTTTTAGTCTTTAAATAAGATAATTAGATAGTATGCACTTGAAATAAGAGAATGCTATTGTGTTTTTCTTATTTTAAATCTAAATTGTCGTGTTCCATTGGCAAAATGTCTCTTTCATCTCCTCAATACAAGAACAAATGCATTTATTTTAAGAAAAAATGACTTATCTAGATTTGGATTTTCTCCAGGTTTTAACGATCAAACTGTTGTGTTGTTTTTTTAAGTAGAAGTATTGAGTCCAGGTTTGACGAGTCTGTTTCTAAACTTTATCTTTGTACAAGATTGTCAAGATTGAGAGTAAATGATGGGCGTGCTTTGGTGGCGCACACGACCATGTATGGAGTCTTTAGTCCTCCAGGTGGGCGACCCGGGTTTGAATCCGGGCTTTGATCTTTTCCCACGTCTCTCCCTCCCTCTCATACCCCCTTTCCTGTCAGCCTACTGTTCAGAAAAACAAGCCACTAGTGCAGTGTAAAAAAAAAAAGGAAAAAAATAAAAAACTGGTGTTTTTAGAAATTGTTTGAAAGACCTCATAAACCTCAAACTACTCTTTAGAGAATGTCGAACCCGTTCATTAAAATCCTGCCTCTCAGGGTTTATCCGATTTTTAACATGAGCGAAGATTCTAAGTCTGAAACTTCAACAGCGTCATTGCAGCCATATCTTCTTTCAACACTCACCATGTGCTCCACACATAACTGCACATTCATATAGAGAAAAAAAAAAAAGAAAACCCTCAGAAGGAGCGATTTCTGCTGTCGTTTCCATCGCTTCCAGATTGCCCAGAGCAGCAGGCCGTGCAACAGAAATCCTTTCAGTCGGTAAAACGTCCCGCCTCACTCTGTTAGCTCACCTTATTCACCTGTTGCACTTAGTGACACGCTACACACTGGAGTCATCCAACCCGTATGATTAGCACTTGTTGAACTGGCTTAGAAAAAAAACGAAAACAGAAGCTCCACTATAGAATATTTCAGGGGTTTAAATCCCACATATTGGCTGATGGTGAATGGGCACCTGTCAGTTTGAGGCATTCCTGTTTTCCTGCATGTCTCCACCCCTCCAACGGATTTATATGCACCATATAACTAGTAATGCAGCACATGGAGGTCGAGCGACTTCTTATTCAGACATAGTCGCCGGCGTTTGTCTCTTGCGCCGCGTTTTCCAGACTTTCTAAGCTTAATGACTTGGAGTGTACACTCATCAGAGACTTGCAACCATGGCTGCCACTGACTGAACTACCATTGATGGCACAAACAGCTCCAACAAGCAGAAGACTTTATTAAGGTTACCTATTATTTTTAATATAAAACAGGAACTGGCAACAAGTTTTGTTAAAATTTGCACCATTTGGGAAATGATTTTAATGTATATAAGTTTGGTACCCAAATGTAGTATTTCTAATACTGCTTGATAAATATTTATCTATTTAGTTTGGTCTGTTTTGAACCATCTGAATAACAAGCAGGAAAGGAATGAAATCCACTGCAATAAATTAGGATGAAGACACAATGATTTAAAATTAAATGAGTATAATTATATATCTATTTAAAAAAGAAGATTTAAGATGTAGGCTGAGTATTATAATTATGTGAGTCAGCAGCAGTGATTGATTCCAGTATCTGCTATGCAACTAATGTAACGATCAATCGTTTATAGGTGGAAATTAGGGCAGAACCATTTAGAAAACATCTAAATAGTGATTATTTGCTTCTAATATTGCGATTCCGATTCTTTTTTGGGATTTTCTTTTGCATTAAGCACAAGCATATAGATGTTTCATTCAAGGTTTTCAGTTTTTTATGACCTTAAAAAAATCCATTGTTGCAGGACTTCGCATAAAAAAGTTCTTCCTTCTGCTATAATGCGTGGATCTGATGCTAGCTGCGACCTTTTCTTCCAGCCCGTTATTGATTGATGGATTGATTGACTTTATTGATCTCACAGTGGAGAAATTTGCTCGTTAGATCATCTCAAATATTAAAAAAAGAGAAGAAGAAGTTGCCAAAGGAAGAAAAAAGTGCATGGGATATACACAGTATATACAACACGTCCACATAAGGAAGTATTATAAGATATATTATATATATATGAACTGGGTGTCAAATATAGAGGAATAGGTTATTGCACAAATAAATATAGTGTCTTGCTCTTTTTAAGTGTACTGTGACTATAATGAAGTACATTGTAAATGCAATTAATTATCCCAGCCCTAACTGAAATGAGCTTTCTACATTCTGAAAAATTAAGTTAGACACAGAATTTACGGCCTTAAGAGCGGCTAATAAAGGATCAAAGGTGGGAATGCTAACAGAATAAAAAGGCTATTCTTAGTTTAAATAATCAGGAAGATTAAGACCAGGGTGCTTTCAGAACAAAGAAGGATGACAGAACGTTTTGGCAAAGTCACAAATGAGGAGGTAGGCCAGCAAGTACAATGTTTGAGAGGAGTGAAAGTAACGGTACTCACAGCACTTCCTCAAAGGGGAGGGGCTTCACCGGGGTGGGCGGGGCTTTATTTTGAGCTTCCACCTCCTCCTCCGTCCTTCTCTTCCTCCTCGCTTCTTCTATCTTCTGTATTGAACTTTTCTGGAACCAGCAGCACTCGGAGTATTCTTCTCAGGTGTCTGAAAAATAAAAAGAAATGTCCATAAAGCTGTGTGACAGGAATCCATGAATCTGAAGAGTGCTTCAGGACACCGATGCAAAGAGAGCACGGTGAGGTGCAGCTGACGGAGGGGGTTCTCTACTCCTCTGACAGTATCCGTAAATGAAACAAGTGGTGCCATGTCAAGCTGGACCTTAAAAACTGCACTACAACTCGGACCGAAAACAGAAAGCGGTGGTTGCTATGGCAGCAGGAGCCCAAACAGAAAGGCATGGGAGCAATAAATGGAGAACAGGTGAAAAAGACAAGAGGAAAAGAAAATTTGGAGGTCAGAGAAACACAAGTCAAGACCCCTGGACTGCACGGGTTCACTTTTCAAGTCTGATCTGATTTATTTATTCTCTGCTCCATTCCTCAGCAGTTCATCCTGTCTTCAGCATTTTAAACTTAATCTATCCTGAGGAATCAATAACAGCTGAATCAGTTCACCTTAAATAAAATTTTGATTGATCATCTGAGGCCATAAAGGTCTGATTTGGAGGTGACATTCGTCGAATGCTTTGCCTTCTGCATAGGAATCAGTTTAAATAAAAAAAAATGCAATAAATTGAATCTGTTTGAGCATAAATCCAAGCAGATTATAGTTATGAAAGAAAATACTAATTATAAAACAAGAAAAAAAAGCTAACCAGCAACTTTATCTTTATAAATCAAGATTTTATTACAACATCTGAAAAGACGAAGTGATCAGGTCACATTCATTTCTTTAAAATGAAGACATATATAGTCAAAAAGGCTTTGGAAAGCAAATATGTTGCTCATTTTACCCCTTTTTCGAGATATAAAATAAAAGTCTCTCTTTCAAAACGTTTCCACCATCCAAGCCTCCATTTGCGCCCACCAGTGGGACATTTTGCACCCGCTCTCATAGCAGATTGTTTCGGGTATTTCCTTTAAATCCACACATTTGCCAGAAGGTGAGATCATCCAACTCAACATTTAACAGCAGGTCACTCAGAGATATCTTCTGATCAGAAATGATAATCTGTTTAAAAACATTAGAAAACCTGTTATATTAAAGATTTGATTGTTTCTGTGGTTATTCTGACTAAACATAAGGGAGATACTCAACTAAAAAGAGAAATAAAAAACATACTAACGAAAATGGGCATGAGGTCAAAATTGAAAAAGAGAGATTAGGATATAAGGAGACAAAATTCACCAAACGGATCTGCAGTCCTTTAAACCCCAGGTGTCAAACTGCAGTTCTTGTGTCCTGCAGGTTTTCGATGTCTCTCTGCTTCAGCACACCTAGATCAAATAATTAGGTCATTAGCAGGACTCTGGAACCCGGCTGCATGCTGAGGAGGTCATGCAGCCATTTGATTCAACTATGTTGCCCGCAAGGCGAATAAAGGTTAAAGGACTTCAGCCCCTCCAGGACATATGGACCAATAAAACGGGGGATATAAACGATTAGTTGCACTTAAGTAATCCTTAGCTGTTATCTAATGAAAAATATTTTTGAGAAAGCTAAAGAGGAGAACTTAAAGAAAATAAACATAATAGAAGTACCTTAGCTTTAAAAACACAATGAATATATTTGAGGAAAAATGTTTTATCAAAACACGTTTCAACAGCAAAACGTTTGAGTTTCTGCCTTACTGGACCGCTACAACCAAACTAGAATCAAGTTATGAAGGTTTTTTTTTGTTTTGGTTTTTTTTAAGGGAACTACTGACTAATTTCCATACATGGACAATTAACGTTCAGAAAGGAAAAGGCCGGTGCAGAAATTATTTCCAATCATTAGCATTTCCAGAAAAGTGGATGAGATGATGCTTTCTAAGAACGAACAAGCTACCTTTAGCTAAATGAAAACCAGTATGTGACTGGGGTAGACAGCTTGGTGGCTGTGCTGGTCACAACTGGCCTGAATTGGAAGGGACCTGAACTTTCGCTCAGTTCTTTAGAAGACGTTTCCATACCTTTGTGGAACGCTGATGTATTAAAGGGGCAAAATTCTCAGACTCCTGGACAGGTGTTGAAACTTCTTCCAAAAAAACTGAGCGAAAGTCCAGTTGCCTTCCAATTTAAACCTATTTTGTGATTGCCATGACCTGTATCACACTGACATGTTCCTTTATACTTGGTTTTTGTTTTGATTCTGCTATGAACTAACGAACTGTTCACTTGAGGTCCGATTCAAATACACCAGGAGTTTGGATATCTGCCAATCCTGACGCTATTCCGACACCATTTTTATCCGACACTATTTTTATTAACATTAGTGTGGGGATTTTTTTTTAGAGACAGTCATAAACTTATAATACGGTACATTTTGTCCATCCTGAGAACTGAAATGCGCGGGTTACATTATTCTAGTTTGACTACATTAATGAAACCTATGACAAATTTGAATAATCTGCTGTTTGCCTCGTCTGTTTCTGTTTGG